ACTAACTATTGCAGCCATTTAATAGAATTTCTCAGGATAATTCTGCCTGTTAAAAAGAACTGAAGTATAAAAAATGACTTGGCTTCAATGATTCTATTACAACAGGCACTGGTACCCTCTATACATGCACTTTTTTGTAATACTACGAAAGTCGCTGTTTCTCCTCTCAGTTCTCAAGAATAGAGGTATAACACTCCTCCTGAGAAGAATTACTTTCTTCAAAGAACAATCAGAGTGAGGTGGACAAGAAGTGGAAAGAGAATGACTGATAACAGCAGCCCTCAAAGGAGGAGATTAAGAAGCCTCTCTTCCCATCACCAGAGGGAATTCAGTAAACAGAACCTCACAAATATTGTGAAAAAGGAAGAATCTGCAAGATAACTGCAGATTAGCTACAACAAGTTTGCATTTACACCCTGCATAATTTTTTTTTTAATAAATGGATATAAAACTAAGTCAACAAACATTAGGGATTGGTTGGCTGGCTGTTTTTCTTCTCTTTGTACTCTTACTTGGGGAACAGGGTGGGTGGTAAAGAAGAGAAGGATGTGCTTCTTACACACTGTAAAACTGCACAAATACCTCAATAGAGCTTAACCATCCAACCTCTCTTGATTTCAACAAATAAAAAGAACAGACCCTATCCTACCATATACACATACAAGAAATAAAATAATACATTTTAATTCTTCTATTTAGGTGTGCCCACGAAGTACAGAACTTCTAAGTTACCAGCTCCTAAACCATTCTTTGAAATATAAAATAAACTCATGCTGGCAGAAGCATTTCTCAAAATTAAATTAACTTAAAAATATATTTATCATTAATACACAAATTTATATATTTAATTTGTAGAAAAGACTAAAGATTATGGAAGTGGACAACATTGTGCATTTCACAATTTCAACAAACAGTAGTTTAGGAATACCTAAAGAAAAAGGTATATGACTTCCTAGCATTAAACATCCAACACCAGTATCTCCTTTTTAAGGAAATATTAAATTAGAAAAGAAACCACTTGCTATTATGGTAGTCTGATCCAGAGAAAAATCCCAGAAAATAACAAGACTTCAAATACAGCATGTGTACTAACAAAGTCCTCATAAACAAAATATAAAAGGACCTATGCATTCAATATTTAGAAAGTTACCCTGACGTAGTTGAATACAGTCTCAGTATCTGCTTTTCTTCACTACAAAAACTTCATTCTGGCAAAAAAGTTCCTCAAGAGGGAAACTAATCTTTCAATTTCTGCATCAATGAAATAATTCTAGTCTGCAGAGTGGTGTTCATTTTTTAGATCATTGTAAATGTTAAATAAAACAAGCGCAATAATTTACTGGGAACTTCAGTTAATGTTCCGTTATATGCTAATTATTGGAAAAATATAATTTTATATTCATAATTTTCATCAATGTCATGTATCTTTTCAAAATTTACTGTTTGCTTTGTACAGTAGAAAATATTTTTAAACTTAAATGAGATTAAATCATATTTCTAAGCAAGCATTCAAAAAATAATAAAAATAACTTTTGATCTGTGACCTTTTAATGTCACATTCGAAGTATAAGGTTTAAATGGGTGATAAGACAAGCTTATAATAGAAAGACTGTCATTTACTGGCAGAATTCCCAGCTATATCAAGTTGCATAAAACAGAGATGTAACAAAGCAGCAGCAGCATGTTTCTGGTTACCACCTTGGCAATCTGAATCCAACTAACATGACCCATAAGAGACTAATAGCCACTTTCTGCACACTACGTAACAGACAGATGAAGATTAGGATTATAACTATACAAAGCATTATCTGAGTCAGCATTTATATTTAAGGCCCAATTTGTAGCTCTGAAGCTATTCAGAGCACTGGAGATTCTTTGGAGCGCCTCTTGCATTCACACCACTGCAAACTGGTTCAGTAATTTGGATTGCATGAGCTTTCTTTATCCATGAAGGGATTAAAACAAATGAACCCTCCAAAAAGACTTTCTTATTTCTGCAAACATAAGCAGGGAAAAATAAAGTGATGATAAACCAATTTTTATGGAGTATGAGTTTCAAATAACAAGTCATAAGATCCTACTATACTATTGATACACTATTGATACCTTTGACTAGGTTCAGACATTCCACTTTGCCCTCTGCTCAAGCTATTTTTGCTATGCTGAGATTTTTTGTTGTTTTGTTTATTTGTTTAACTTGCTAGGTTGGTGTGCTTGGAGTAGGTTTACATTTCAACAAATCAATTAAACAGTAAACTTTCTAACATCAGGCATGCAAGAAGTACCCAGTGCTATGACTGTGAAGCTGATTATTGCAGTGCTTTAACTGCTAGGAGATGTAGGAGGAAGGGCATTATCAGGGAACAGGTCCAGTCATTGAAATTTCTCTTTGAAGATACGTAGTGAGCGGAAAGACATTCACCCAAACTACAAGGAACAGAACCCTACAACCAGTGTTTCAATATCAAAGAAGAAAAAAAAAAAAATCCATGTCATGCAGGATTTCTGAAGGGCAAAGAAAATGAGCAGATTTGTGGAGAACTCTGAACAGAGGGAAGACAGTACACAAATATGATAAACAAATAGTCATCTAAGAAGTGCAAAGGCCTGTTGGAAGTAATTTTGAAATGAGCCCGTCTTAACATGTTAACATAAACAATGTTTTAATTCTTGAAGCATCTTAAGCCCTGCATCTGATAAATTTATAAATAATCACAACCCTCTTTCAACAGTCAATACAGCAGCATCGACCACCTGACTTCAAAATCATCCTGCAAGTAATTAAGTGATTTCCAATTACATTGCTATCTATGGAGAAAAAGAACACAACTTGCTACAAGTTGCACACATAATCCTACAACTTGAATTAAGAAAAAAACCCCAACAAAATCATATTAATTTAAGTCCTCCAACTATGAAAAAAACCCAGAAATATTGTTCTGTCGATAACAAAAACCAAACATGAACATGACAACTGAATTATACGGAATATTCCACCTGTGTTTGTACTTGCCTAGTAATACTTTAGCATCTTCCACATCAAAATCTCCGTCTCCATCAGCATCGTATATCCCAAGCTTGCCTAGAAATACAAGGAGAGGAAAAGGAGAGAATTAGGGATTCAGCAGTTTGTTTCCAGAGCAGCACTTTCAATGTGCAATGGTTCACTGGCAATGCTAGGTCGTTACCATATATTTTTTTAATGATTTAGCCCTACTTTTCTTAACCACATCTTAAATTCCCTGGAAAATCTTACAAACACTTTAAGTTCCTTTCTGTATTTCCTAGACCTTAGACTGAATATAAGTTAGTCTTTTTTCTATACATTTATTTTGGTGCTCACAAATTGAAAACAAATCTGTGATTAAGTGATGCACTTTATGTTAACATGCTTATAATTTTATATTCATAATTTTCATCAATGTCATGTATCTTTTCAAAATTTACTGTTTGCTTTGTACAGTAGAAAATATTTTTAAACTTAAATGAGATTAAATCATATTTCTAAGCAAGCATTCAAAAAATAATAAAAATAACTTTTGATCTGTGACCTTTTAATGTCACATTCGAAGTATAAGGTTTAAATGGGTGATAAGACAAGCTTATAATAGAAAGACTGTCATTTACTGGCAGAATTCCCAGCTATATCAAGTTGCATAAAACAGAGATGTAACAAAGCAGCAGCAGCATGTTTCTGGTTACCACCTTGGCAATCTGAATCCAACTAACATGACCCATAAGAGACTAATAGCCACTTTCTGCACACTACGTAACAGACAGATGAAGATTAGGATTATAACTATACAAAGAATTATCTGAGTCAGCATTTATATTTAAGGCCCAATTTGTAGCTCTGAAGCTATTCAGAGCACTGGAGATTCTTTGGAGCGCCTCTTGCATTCACACCACTGCAAACTGGTTCAGTAATTTGGATTGCATGAGCTTTCTTTATCCATGAAGGGATTAAAACAAATGAACCCTCCAAAAAGACTTTCTTATTTCTGCAAACATAAGCAGGGAAAAATAAAGTGATGATAAACCAATTTTTATGGAGTATGAGTTTCAAATAACAAGTCATAAGATCCTACTATACTATTGATACACTATTGATACCTTTGACTAGGTTCAGACATTCCACTTTGCCCTCTGCTCAAGCTATTTTTGCTATGCTGAGATTTTTTGTTGTTTTGTTTATTTGTTTAACTTGCTAGGTTGGTGTGCTTGGAGTAGGTTTACATTTCAACAAATCAATTAAACAGTAAACTTTCTAACATCAGGCATGCAAGAAGTACCCAGTGCTATGACTGTGAAGCTGATTATTGCAGTGCTTTAACTGCTAGAAGATGTAGGAGGAAGGGCATTATCAGGGAACAGGTCCAGTCATTGAAATTTCTCTTTGAAGATACGTAGTGAGCAGAAAGACACTCTCCCAAGCTACAAGGAACAGAATATCAAAGAAGAAAAAAAAAAAAATCCATGTCATGCAGGATTTCTGAAGGGCAAAGAAAATGAGCAGATTTGTGGAGAACTCTGAACAGAGGGAAGACAGTACACAAATATGATAAACAAATAGTCATCTAAGAAGTGCAAAGGCCTGTTGGAAGTAATTTTGAAATGAGCCCGTCTTAACATGTTAACATAAACAATGTTTTAATTCTTGAAGCATCTTAAGCCCTGCATCTGATAAATTTATAAATAATCACAACCCTCTTTCAACAGTCAATACAGCAGCATCGACCACCTGACTTCAAAATCATCCTGCAAGTAATTAAGTGATTTCCAATTACATTGCTATCTATGGAGAAAAAGAACACAACTTGCTACAAGTTGCACACATAATCCTACAACTTGAATTAAGAAAAAAACCCCAACAAAATCATATTAATTTAAGTCCTCCAACTATGAAAAAAACCCAGAAATATTGTTCTGTCGATAACAAAAACCAAACATGAACATGACAACTGAATTATACGGAATATTCCACCTGTGTTTGTACTTGCCTAGTAATACTTTAGCATCTTCCACATCAAAATCTCCGTCTCCATCAGCATCGTATATCCCAAGCTTGCCTAGAAATACAAGGAGAGGAAAAGGAGAGAATTAGGGATTCAGCAGTTTGTTTCCAGAGCAGCACTTTCAATGTGCAATGGTTCACTGTCAATGCTAGGTCGTTACCATATATTTTTTTAATGATTTAGCCCTACTTTTCTTAACCACATCTTAAATTCCCTGGAAAATCTTACAAACACTTTAAGTTCCTTTCTGTATTTCCTAGACCTTAGACTGAATATAAGTTAGTCTTTTTTCTATACATTTATTTTGGTGCTCACAAATTGAAAACAAATCTGTGATTAAGTGATGCACTTTATGTTAACATGCTTTGTTCACAAGGAACATTCAACATATTTGAGGGAAAAGAAATAATAAAACAAGAATTAATCAAATAATCACCATTTGTTTTCTGATTATATGCTTCTTGCCATTCTAAGTTCTCAGGAAAAAAAAGATAGGTATAACCTGGCACTATAAATTATAATAAAGGGTAAGCAACCTACTTCCTGGGCAGAGGAAAAACATTCATAATTTTATCACCAACTGTATAACATTTACTGCAGAGATGAAGTTTTATAGGTGACCTATATCAGACTTCTCAATTTTATTTTTGAAACTGCAGCTCTACTAGCCCTAAATATAAGTAAAATGAGAAGCCAGTTTCCATTCAAGAATAATTTTTCACATGAAATGCTAGAAGTAGATTAGAAGATTACAAGTATTCTGGCGAGTAGGGAACTATCTAATTTTGATAAAACTCAGGCATAACTTTTAATAGGACTGAAAGTCTGCACACTGTTTGCAGAAGAATTCCAAGTCCTTGTATTTCCCAGCTTATTACTGCACTTGTCATTATCTAAGTGGAGGCAAAACTTGATTGCCATTAAAATAAATGAAATACAGTTCTTAATATGGTACTTAGAAAATTAGAAAACAGTTTTGTGGAAGAAAAAGTTCAGACTTGGGTCTAGAATAGACAAAAATAAGGTCATAGCCATCTTTCAATTAGAAAGGATCTTTATTGATTTATGGTTAAACAAAGACTGGTGGAATAAATGTAATTCTCTAGAAATAAGAATTGCATCATCTTCAAAACCATGAAGAATGAGAAAGATGAGAAGTGATTGAATTTCATGTCATTGCAGAAGAAGAGTAATTCTCTAAAAACTTAAAAACATAAAAAAGTAAACCAAAATTTTTAGCCAAGGGACTGTAAAGCAAGATTATTTCTCTAATATCCTACCTTGTAGGACCTCTGACAAGTTATAACGGAAATCCTTTGCTTTGGCTGCATGCGTGGTAAAAATACAGAAACCATTATTTGCATCACTAGACCCAATTAAGTTTCAAACCAGAAGGTTCTCTAAAAATCAGTCCAGATCAAAAAAAGCATGTACCAACAGATTTGTAAAGCTGTAATGTAAATCTTGCAAAACCAGTAGTAGCAAAAGTACATGTTTAATCCTACAGCATCAGGGACAATATCTCTACCTACGGACACCTTGAAATTTAAGACATTAATTTTCACCCTTAGCTATTATATTAACAATACTATCTTAACATGCTGAGAGACAATTTTCACCGTTATAAGCTTAAACCTGAGGTCATTCATCAGCTCGTTTGTGAGCGGATCACTGATGAGCTGTCCTGACTATACAGGCAACACAGTCCCTCAGAGGAGCTGTAACATTAACTGCCCCCTTTCAACCCCTGCGGCAAGTTTCTGAGAACTTCAACTGAAACGACAAATATTTAGCTGATATTTCAAATGCACTACAGTATATATGTTACAAAAAAGATCCAGATCTATCCTTGGAGATTTCTTTAATAAATGTAGTATGTTAATAACTTTTTCTAGTCTTACGAGAATCCCATTTTAACATCATAATAGAGTTCATCGTTAAAACATACTTTTTGAACTACATTGCCTATTCTTATCATGTAGGTCATTTGCAAACACCACAGCAGTCAGTTCAGCTATCTAGAAATATAAAATGCCCTCCATTTAATGTATACCATAATAATTATTAGAAGAATCTTAAGGTTTAAAATTCTTACCGAGAACTTCTTCATAATCTACAAGTTCAAACCAGACAACTGCTACCGATGTCCAAACTCCCAGCAAAGCAATTACCATAAACCAGGTGAAAAATGAGCTTCCAGAAAGGCCTTCTTTCTTTCCATTCTTGCTTCCTCCATGCTTCGACTCTGTTAAAATAAGGCAAACAAGTAGAAAAAACAGATTTGATAAGAGTTAGAAAATTATCATTAAGGATAACTATAAATCTTGCTTCTTATGACTACACAGAATACAGGATATTTGAGTAACACTTTTTGGAGTGTTAGGTTGGGGTTTTTTGGCTTGACTTCTTTTTTTAACTTCACCACTTTCTTGCTGTTCATATTGCTGTATTACAGCGGGAAGCTCGATGAATATCTAAGTAAAAGCCCTATAAACAGTCAAATGCCAAAAACCCACATGCAATTTGTCTTAACAACTCAGTTGGAAATCCCCTCCTTCCTTCCCCTTCAGTGTATATTTATACAGAGCTTAGCATTTTTGAGATGCTTTGCATTTGTGCCAACAGTTCTCAAACTGCCACCAGAGGGCAATGAGACCAGCAGAAACAGTTTGGAAGAAAAGCCTTTCTTCTGAAACATGTTTCAAAGCTTGTTGAATTTGCTCAAGGAATCAACATGAAAATTTAAATAGTCTATGAAGGCTCTAAAATCTAAACCTTATGAAGGGTAAACCCCCAAGTTCAGACACTCTACCAGCTAAAAATATCTTCCCTGTTGCTTGGAATTGAGAAGAAATTCACTACATGCTGAGTATCTTTAGACTTCCCTTCCCCACGAAACATACGAGAGAAAAGATGACACAGACATAATGCAAATCACAGCTTCATTTATAACTGCACATATGAAAAGTAAATGTATATAAAAATACAGTAGTTATAAACAAATAATCACTGGGAGAAGAAAGACCTCAACCCAGCATATGAGAACAGGGTTTCAACAGGGTATCAATCACCACTCCAGAAGACATAAATTGCTTGGTCTGTTGCTTTAGGATCATTTTAGGTAAACAGGGACACAGGTAGTAAATAAATACGCATCCAGAAGGATGCCTGTGGCCCTTCTCCAAAGCTCATGGTCTGCTCTTCTGCCTCCTGATTCTACTGCTGCAAGCCTAGAACTTGGCCACGGTTTCATGTCTACCAGCCTATTCTGCTTCATTCCCTTCTAAGCACCAGCTTTCGTCCGTTCAGCCATATTAAGTCCTAGTTCTGGAAGTAAAACTATTTCTTACATATTTTTAAGTACTCGAGGAACTTTGCCATGAATATTATGATAATATAATAAGCTAGGGAGTTAACTATCATATTAACTGCAAATAATGTTTGATATATTTATTAACACCGATCATACAAAAAGACAAAAAATACTCTCAACAGCTAAATCTCAACGTGATTTTTTTTTTTTAGAATAAAGTGGAGTAGTTCTGAAAGATGAGTAATGAGAGACCGGTGACTGACTGATTTATTTCTGTAATAGATATTATATAGAAGTACTTTCAGGCCTGCTTGCCATCAGGTTTACAACTGTAATAATCTAACCTTTGATTACATTAATTGTGCTGTACACCAAGTTCAGACCAATAAAAAAAACCCAAAGAAACCTGACTCATGTCAGCTCTTATTCAGCTCAGCAATTTATTGAAAAAAACCTATAATTTTATTAAGGCTACTGCGTACAAACACCTACTATTTAGTTTCTTTTCTATATTAAACACAAAGTTGCCTGGTATAGGCTCTCCAATAATATTCAGAGACAAACCAAGACAACTTAGCCTCACCTCAGCCATGTATTGCTTGTTACTGCACAGTAACTTAATTAAATATATGCAAGGTCCATATACATAACACATCTCTCACCTCAGCCATGTATTGCTTGTTACTCACAGTATCTTAATTACATATATGCAAGGTCCATATACATAACACATCATAACATCTCTCTTGTGGGAAAAATGTACAAGAAGTAGAAACAGAAAACAGAGGCAAAGACAAGCAGCATCTGCCAATACATTCAGAAATACATACAATCATGAAAATTACTTAATGTACTCTTAAGCTGGAAATTTTAATATTTAGAAATAAACAATTCTACCATGATATCTTTAATGTACTTTAATATTTAGAAATAAACAATTCTACCATGTAATGGCAGAACTTCGGTACTCCTGTGTTCCAACGTAGTCAACAGAAGCTTTGTACATATCTAAAATGAAACCCTAAGCCTAAAAATATTTTAAATGATTCCAGGTTACAGCTATGTTCTAGAGAAAAGTATTAGAAGAGGCAAACAGGAAAGAGAATGTTACTGTATTTCACACTTACTTATTTACCTTACTGTTTTATACTGTTTACTGCTAGTTGCCTATGAAGAAAGGGGCTTTAGTTCTTAGAAGGGAAAAAAAAAAACCACAAAAAAAACCACAACAAAAAAATGGGGGAAAAAAAAGACAACTTATTTAAGCAATAAAGCATAGCTGTTTATATTTTTTCCAGTCTAAAAGACTGTTTTGTGCATATCCTCAAAACCAGGTTATTTTCCAAACTCTTGAAAAAGTCTGCTACCAATTCAACCATGGCAGCTTGATCTGCAGCACTTTAATATAAATGGAAGTTATGTAAGATAAAATTTACCGTTGGTCTGTGCAGATAACCCTACGCATAGGGTCAGAACAAAACATTGCAAGGACTGAGGCTGACTCAGAGCTCATTCCAGACCGTTAATTCTCAATTCAAGCCCTTTCCCTGCACACGCTGCCAGCTATGTCAGAAGTAGGTCACTGGCCATATCTGGTAAGCCTGTGCTTACACCACCAGATGTCTTTATGCAGACATCAGAAAGTCTTAAAGTGAGCTCTGTTCCTCAGCGGCAAATCTTTAAAGGTCCTATACCTCACCCACCCCACATCAAGAGTCACACCTAGACAAAGATGTACAAAACCCTTTTTCTTTTTACTTTAACTTAGGCTAAAGACACTTAGTAATTTCACATACTCCAAAAATAACTTTACAGTCAGATATTTGAAGACAAAACAATGTCTTTTATGTTAATGCGTGCCTTACTCAAGCAAAAACCAAGTTACAATTAACCACCTGCCATAAACTCATGAAGTACCTCTAAGCCCAGAGAACATTTAGTCAAAGAGAACAGAAGCAGCACATTAATGCACATTAAAAGAGAATGCACATTAAAACAGCAAACTGGCTAGGAAACATCAACATACCACAGTCAGACAGTTATTTTGTTGATTATAAAATCAGACATAGCCAGTACTTGCAACTATACATTTTCCATTTGTTCACAAAAAAGGTGAGGGTTATACCTGTGTCGTCAGCCATAACATTAGTGCTCGATTTCCACAGACAGAGCGAGTGTGTCGATATCTCCAAAAATTAATGCTGAAGGCAGAATAAGAAACGATTTATCCTCCCTGTAGTCTTGCAACAGAAGCAAACAAGTTCCCTAAAGCCAGCTGAGCTGGAACCCGAAACTGGACCCAAGAGAAACCTCTCCTCCAAGTCTATTTTTGGAGCAGTTATCCTCAGGAGCCAAACGCTTTTCAGAACTCATATGGCAATCTAGTTCTGACGACAATCAAATTCACTCACTCCTCCCAACAGAGCATCCTGGGTAGTTGATCCTTTCCCCTCCCCTTAATCCTCCAACATCAAACAGCAGCGAATGAAACCGAGCGGGTTGTGCTGTAGTATTTTTTGCTGCAGCGTACGCCTCGGTGCCTGGAGGACATGAAATCCGTCGGCGTAAGCTGAAACACAAGTCTGGACACAAAGCTCGCCTGCCCGCATTTGTTACCTTGGCCCTCGCCCAAGAAACTTTCTCCATGTTGGCACTCCTCTGCCAGGCTTCCCCCGGTACCCTGCAGAGACTGCTCAAGTGAAGCTTGCTAACTGCTTTAAGAAGAAAAGACAGCTGATTTCTACGACATAGTTTTGAGGCTGTAGAAGAGTTACTCTGCACTGGTGAGGCCACAACTGGAGTACTGCGTCCAGTTCTGGGCTCCCCAGTTCAAGAGGGACAGGGAACTACTTGGAAAGAGTCCAGCGAAGGGCAACAAAAATGATTCAAGGATTGGAGCATCTCCCTTATGAGGAGAGACTGAGAGAGCCGGGACTCTTTAGTCTGGAGAAGAGAAGGCTGAGGGGAGACCTTATCAATGCCTACAAGTATCTCAAGGGAGGGTTGAAGGAGGGAGCTGGACTCTTTTCAGTGGTTCCCACTGAGAGGATGAGGGGCAACGGGCACAAGTGGGAACATAAAGGGTTCCACTCAAATATGAGGAGAAACTTCTTCACGGTGAGGGTGACAGAGCCCTGGAACAGGCTGCCCAGGGAGGGTGTGGAGTCCCCTTCTTTGGAGATTTTCAAGACCCGCCTGGATGCTCCTGAGTAACATGCTCTGACAAGCTCTGGGTAATCCTGCTTCAGCAGGGGAGTTGGACTAGATGATCTCTATGGTCCCTTCCAACTCTAAAATTCAGTGAAATTCAGTGAAATCCACCACAGGTGTTCTTGCCAACCAATTTTCAGATGAGGACCCTTCCCCTGGTACACCTCATACTTGTTTCCAGCAGACCCAAAGAAGGGTTACTGATAGTTTTGCCAAAGCTAAGCCTGTTTCCCTGGAGTGCAACACTCCACGTGCCACAAAGGCAAACCAGGCAAGAGTTCTGCTGCATATTTGTGAAAAATAGCAGAGATGTTGATTTTGCTTTCTTGCTCTCACTTTCCAGAAAGGACCTACACTAACTCATCTCAATCACCCCCCCTTTAAATTGTGACAGCATGCACACTACCTGTACAATTTAAATCTAACACTAATGACCAACACACTCTCTTCTTCTTAAGGACCAGAAAAGGAGGGAAAAAAATCCACTAATCCACTATTCAACTTACTTACATCTTCAATTTTAGCAAACTATTCTTTTCCCATTGCATTTCAAACAAAAGCCAGCTCCTTTTTGTTACAAAACAGAAACAAACTCACGCCTCATTAACAGCAACCCCAATAAAAACTTCAGGATCTAGCACTCTGCCCTTCCTCCCCCAACACTGCTTTAAATAACATGGCCATCAGGTAGATGGAGAGCACAGCAGAATGTTACAGCTACTTTGAAAAACAACAGGTACCTCGTGTGGTTTTAACATCCAGCAACCAATTCCCAAGAGCAGTGCCCAATAGCTCAAGGGAGAAAAAGCAAGAAATAATGTCCAAATAAGTTTCAGACTTTTCAAATGGATGCGAAGAAACTACAGGCAGTTGATTCTATAAGTAGTGTATCTTTTAACTATGTTTAAAGCCACTTGAATCATCAAACATATGATTTAAGAAAGACCTCATGACTAGTATATTTCAGCAACTTATGTGATGTGCAAATGATTTTAAGGAAGATAGGGGGAAAATTTAAACAAAGGGTCAAAGTCCCCAAATATACAGAGAAATCAATAGCTTATTAAAGAAAATTATTTTACATGGAATTATATGCAGTCTATTGTATATAAAACCTATATTGTTTTGACAGGCATTAGGTTAGGCAATTCACTGCAACTCCACTTCTGCTGCTCCTGCAGATCCCAGGCCTCACCACAAGTGAATGCAGAGAGCACACAACTGATGCCAAGAACCAGACCTTACCTGGCTGAAAGCCCATAAGCAATTGCAGCATACTTTTCTGTTTCATTTCACTCAAACCCAATTAAGTATATTCACAGCCAACAGCACAATGAAGAAAAGCTAAGAGGGTGGAGCTAGTCAAGAAATAATTGTCAAGTGTACACTCCCAATCTGAACTAACACACATACGCTCACCTTTAACCAAGTACCCGCAGCCTTATCTCGAACCCTTTAAAAACCAACTGATTGCAAGAACATGTATTCCCAAGAAATGGCAAACATCCTCCTTCCTGAAAAGGGAGGATACAGCAAAAACGGGGAAACTTTTCAGACTCATCAAAAGGAAGATGGACCAAAAGGCCACTAAACTATCATATATCCCATGGACAGCATACATTAATGCACACCTCGAAAAATGCAGCTTATGCACGTTATCTCTCTGCATGCAATAGTTCAAAATATGAAGCAACGTAATTATGGTTAGTTTTGTGTTAGACGAAGATTAAAATGAACAGTTATACATTTAAAACACAATTCACAAATGGCATAGCTCAGCCAACAGCACAGGCTTCTTGCAAGGTCTCATTCTACTGCGTTCAAACGCTGTGACTACAGGTTTGTTGGTTCTTTTTTCAAGCAACTCAAATTGCTTCACTAACACAACATTATTACTACTCACCTCACTTGTATAACTTTTTCAAATTTGAAAACTACTTTCAAGTTAGTTTTGCTACAACTATGCACTCCATGCTATTTAGTTAATTTAAGAAAAGCATAATTCAAAACCAAGACTAGCAGCATTCATTCCACCTGTAGATCACTACCAAAGTGCAAGCAAAGAAGCTTAGAGGGGAAAAAAAAAAAAAAAGAGTCAACTATAAACACAAAAATAAAGGCAGACTTCAAAGCATCAACCTAAGCTTTTGTAATGTGCATAATTATTTCCAACAAAGGTGCACCAGGAAGTAACAGGGAAGCAATTATAGATTATCACATGAAGAGAAGGGTGCACATTAGCAGGCAGTTACTAGAAATCAGAAAAACACAGTAAAAGGAAAAACCACAAAACGCTAACCTCAGAGAAATACCTGAAAATAGCATTTCAAAAGTAAAAATTACCAATCAGCTAGATCTCAGGCAGGCTTTAGAACAAGCTTGTTTTAAAAGCAAAATGCATAGCGATAATAAACAGATATGACAAAGAAATAAAAAAATAAAATGTTACAACAGAACCGTCCTACCACTAACAGAGCTCAACTAGGAGCAGTACAAAGAGAGAAAACAACCTCTCTTGTCTAAGCATGGCCTACTATTGCTTGCCATTTTTAGTAAATTATCTTTTCCACTCTGATTAATGATAAAACAACTGTTGCAAGCCATTCTCAGTAATAAAATGGCAGTTAAGTATTTGTAAACAGTTTTTATAGAAAAATTTTTTGGGTGGGGTCAGTAACAAGTACTTTGAGTAAAATATCTATTAAAGAGAAGTTTACAGCATTCTCTCGTGTTACTTTTTCCCCCTAACTATTAAAATACAAGCCTCCCCCCTGCCACTACTGTGAGATAGGTCATATGTGTGTATATACATACACACACTTTTTGTGATGCATTTTAAAATCTAAACTCAATAAGCATCTTTGTTGAACTGTTCCATTCTGAGAAGTCCACACACCATAATGATCACAAGTATGATCCTGAGGTAAAAAGAGATTTTCATCTTCAATTTTCATTTAGTGTACCAAAGGTGGACAAAATACACTTTTAATGAACAAATCTGAGCTCATGATGGGGTTTTACAAACTCGATTTCATTTTGTAAGGGAGGTTAGGGTTACCCTTTTCTCTCCATTTACTTTACAAATAGAACAGAGATTTTTACTAAAATACTTATGATATCACTAAAAATATTCCAATCTTAAACTTGCACAAATATCCATAGTCAGAAATATTTGTTTGCTTTACAAACAATCATGGCAGCAGGATCTTTAGAGAAAAGATCTAAAGTTTAATGTAAAGCTTTACTTTTAATAAATTCGATATAAATTCTTTGTGATACAAAATTGATTCTTTCTTTTGGTATCCAAGAAATCTTCTTCAACACCGAAACCTTAACAGAAGTCAGGGGGAAAAAAAGTGGCTTTTAATTATTATTCTCCTTAAACACTAGATCTCTGCTCTGCACTTCCTATAATCTAGTCTATATAAAGATACATGTGCACATTATGAGAGGACCTTAATAAACTAAATCAGAAACATACTAGTTAGTTCCCTGTTCCCCAAACAGGGAAATGGATAGAAAAGAAAAAGCATTAAGTTCAAAGAAAACACAAAGAACATAACTTAAAGGTAAAGTAATAAATTAGCCAAATGAAAGGCAATTTTGGCTCTCCTGCTGCCACTTCACTGATTTTTTGTCTAGTGTTTGCGGAACTTTTCCTTATTCCACATATAATAAATCCTCACATAAATATTTAAGGTACTTAATTTTTAATCCCTACAAGATTTTTTATAGTAAAGCATCCTACTATACAATCAAAGAACAACTTAAATACTGAAACCAAGAGCAAAGTCATAAATTCAGGATTCAACAACTAAGCATCATGGAGATGCTGAGGGTGGCACACAAGGAGGAGGAAAAAAGAGACGCATTACAAAACATTTAACAAAACCTCTAGGTCCCTAAGTGCCCTGCTGAACTTCCCTACTGAAAGAAGTTCCTCCCTTCAATAGATGAAGTGATTCCATTGAACCACCTCCACGTAATCAGGATGTGAAAGATCAGAGGATTCAGTTTTCTCCTCTGCAGTGGGGAACAGTGGTACAATTTCTTTGGAGGTCTAAAACATGTTTTTAAGGATATCCAAGAGTATGAGAACAAAGCCATTTTAGTCCTTCATGATGAAGCTGTTTATTTGTGCACAATCAACTCTTAACAGACCACAACAGCAATT